AGTTTTTATGTTGTCTACTATCTTGGTCATCCTGTTTACATCTTTTCCTGTGTGCTATGCATTTACAATTCTCAATTGCATTTACAAATTGCAGCACAAACCCTGTTCAGAGTGTTGAGAAAACATTTCAACTTACAAGAGCTGATAAAGACTTGTTGACAAGACAGGAATATGATCTTCAGGTTTCATAAGAGTTCTGAACTATATTTCCATCTTAAGCTGTTATTGTGTATTTACTCCTAACTCATCATGGCCGTTATTATCAGGCTTGGTGCATGCTCCTCAATGACAAGGTTCAATTTAGGATGCAGTGGCCTCAGTATGCTGATCTGCAGATCAATGGTATGCTCTAGATAGATTCACTTTTAAAATCATATGAAGCTCTTGCAAGTTGAAGTATAGACTTCCCTAATTAACTCCAGTTTGGTCTGGGTTCCCCAATGCTACTGGGTGCTATAATTCATCTTGAATTCGGAACTCAAGCCTGATTCTTTTAGTTTGTTTCACCTCTAGTTGCTTTAGTAACTTCATTTTTACCTCAGGTTTTGCTGTTCGTGCAATGAATAGACCTGTGTCGCAATTGCTAGGAAATAACGGTCGAGATGATGGACCCATAGTGAGTTTGTTCTTGCTTCTCTTTATGTTTCTTTTTTCATGTTGTATGTACTACTGACCTCATTTCTTGTTTTGATGGGTGGGCCGGGGGGGGGGTGGGGGGTGGTGGTGGGAGTGTGTATAGTATTGTCTTTGAAAATGTTTCTTACCCATCCTCTTCTCACATGTATGATACTTTTGTTTTTTATGTGCATACTGAATTGCATTTGGTTTTCTAGTTGCTTGTCTCAGTTATTTTACTGTTTTTCCAGATAACAGCATACACTAGAGATGGAATCAATAAAATTTCCCTGACAGGTGGAGATGCTCGGGTGTTCTGTTTAGGTGTCAGAATTGTAAAGCGGCGTACTGTCCAACAGGTATTTTGTTTTGTTTTATTATTTTTTGTTTGTTTGGTTATGTTGCTTGGGGTGTATGGGGTTTTTGGTTGGCTGTTTTCTGGTGGTAGTGAGTAGCAAGTGAATTTACTAGTACATACTGTTTGAGAAGCAACTCTTTCTATGATTCTTATTCTGTGCTTAATTCTTCTTTTAGATACTTAGTAGTATACCTAAAGCGTCCGATGGTGAGAGTTTTGAAGATGCTCTTGCTCGTGTTTGCCGTTGTGTTGGTGGTGGAAATGCCACAGAAACTGCTGACAGTGACAGTGATATTGAAGTTGTAGCTGATTCTATTCCTGTGAACCTTCGATGTCCTGTAAGTAAATAAATATTTGAAGATAAACTTTGTGATTGTAACAAATGCAAACCCCCCAAGGCTGCCTGCCCCTTTCCCCCCCTAATCCTCTCCTACAAAAAAAAGACAGCAAGTTCCATGTGTACCCGACAAGTTTGAATGAGTCAAGTCCCATTGCATACTGTTGATATTGCATGTAACGTTTCTTCCATTTGAGTGTCTCAAATGATTTAGATAGTGAGATCCATTTTCGTATAAGGTTAACTTGTCAAGGTGGCTGGCATAAGCTCTGAACTGAAGAAAAATGGGTTTGTTGGTTTGCATTGTCATGATATTAGTGACTACATGGGTCCTATGCTTTGTAGCCTTGCTAGTATGGTGTTTGGACAGTTTAGTTTGGAGTTTGTTAACTCCAAAAAGTGTAATTGGCCAAACACTATGAGGTAAAGGCCTCTTTTTCTAGGAGCTTCCAGCAGAGGCCAAACAAACACTTAAATCATTCTGCTCTCCTTTCCCAATAATGTAATGTGTTACTACTTTCAAGCATTCCTTCTGCATGCTGGCTCCCCTAGTCATAAGTAAAATTTCTTATTTTCCTATCAGGATGGTTTTATTGCATATGTTTCATTATTCAATGCAGCTATATCTAAGCAATGTCTTCATTTTTGTAATCTGCTGCTTCAGATGAGTGGATCAAGGATGAAGGTTGCTGGAAGATTCAAGCCGTGTGTTCACATGGGTTGTTTTGATCTTGAGGTTTTTGTTGAAATGAATCAACGGTCAAGGAAGGTAACTCACTATGCAAAAGAGTCATCTCTGTCAGTTTTCTGCTATCAATGCTGGATTTCCCCTAGATTTCCATTTTCAGTCTAGGGTGATATTTTTGACAAATGTTGTGCTGCAGTGGCAATGCCCTATTTGCCTCAAGAATTACTCTCTGGAGCATATAATCATTGACCCATATTTCAATCGAATTACTTCGAAGGTAATAGTTTGTTGTAGCTTTTTTCCTGATTCCAAATTTTATCCAAGATGCGTGCATGTATAATGTGCTCTTTATTTTATTTTAAATAATTCTGGCTTCCTCTTTCTCTCACTCTCATGCAGTTGAAGAGTTGTGGAGAAGATGTGACTGAGATTGAGGTCAAACCCGATGGTTCTTGGCGTGCTAAGGTGGAAGGTGACCGGAGGAGTCTTGGGGATCTTGGGCAGTGGCACTTACCTGACGGAAGTCTATGTAAGTCTTCAGATGCAGATTCCAAACTGAGGCCTGAAATTCTTAAGCAGGTCAAGCAGGAATGTGGTTCAGATGGCCATTTAAGTCTGAAAGTTGGATGGAAAAAAGATGCCAATGGTGATTGGATACCCAATAGACCTACTGATGTCCATGCATATTCATCGGGAAACCTATTACAAGAAAATTTTGAAATGCTTGGACAGGATATTATTAGTAGCAGTGCCACTGGAAGTGGCAAAGAAGGGGAGGACCCCAGTGTAAATCAGGATGGAAATGCAAACCTGGATTTCTCAACCACCAATGGATTTGAACTTGAATCGATGTCACATAATATTGATCAAGCGTATGCTTTTAGTGGTCGAAATCTGTCTGCCCCATCAGGGGACGCTGAAGTTATTGTCCTAAGTGATTCAGAAGAAGAAAATGAGCCGCTAATATCTCCAGAACCTGTCTACACCAATAATAGGACAGATGCTGGCTCAGTCTCTTTTTCACTTCACCAAGGAATTCAAGATCCTTACAATGAAGACCCACCTCTAGCTAATGGAGGCAATTCATGCCTAGATCGTTTTGATGTTAGCAATGATGACTTTGGAATGTCTATGTGGTCTTCACTCCCCAATACCCAGGGTGGTCCTGGCTTTCAATTTTTTGATACTGATCCAGATGTCTCTGGCTCTTTAGTTGATGTGCAGCATGGTTCCATTAATTGTCCTACTGGTGTTAATGGCTTTGGGTTGGCCACGGATACCACCTTGGGTTCTGCTGATGTTGTACCTGAACCGTATGTTGGTCATCCTACTGTGGATATAAATGATGGCTTAGTTGATAATCCACTGTCATTTGATGGTAATGATTCACTTCAGATATTTTTGCCAACTAGGCCATCAGATACAACCATAGATATTGATATGAGAGATCAGCCAGACGTCTCAAATGGTGTTCGAAATGACGATTTGATTTCACTTAGGCTTGGGGTTGGAGGTATTGGGAGTCATGGTGATCTTGCTGCTGTTAATGGCTTTAACTCAGTGCAGCAATTGCAATCCAAGGATGGTGGTGGTAGTTTGGATTCATTAGCTGATACTGGTAGGTCTATATAACTAATCACTAATCATGGCATTTTCATTATTTTACTGCATTTTAATTTCTTTTTAGTCTTCCATAGTTGAGGTTGGTCGTGCAACTGGGGTATGTGACCTGAACTAATGTATTATGCTTCTCGATAAACTAATATAGTTTTCTTGTTTGGTACAGCTTCTCTGCTCCTTGGGATGAATGATAATAATAAATCTAAGAAGACTAGAGAAAGATCAGATAGCCCTTTTTCAATCTCTCGGCAACGCCGAGCTGTAAGACCAAGATTATATTTAAGTATTGATTCAGATTCTGAGTAAAAGACTAAAGAGTAGTGATTGTGTGGAAAAAAAAAAGCTGATTACTTTTAAAAAAACTTAAATATGCGGATGCTCTTCCATAATTATTTTATGTATTTCTACTGGAAGCTGCAATATATCTATAGGCCTATAGAGATTTGTCTGCCAGAAGATCGTTTGAGGATATTGACAGTCCATGAACAATGGAAAGAAACTGCCTTACTAACATGCTTTTGGCTTCTTGGTAGTTTCTTTTCTTGGTAAGCTCTGAACTACAGAAATTTTTTTTCTTTTCATTTCATAAAGCATGACTGTTTGTAAAAATCTGATAACCATGTATGAATTAATCCTTAAATAGGATTTTTATCGGTATTTGATAGTCTTCCAGTCCTCCCCATTAACATAAGAAATATAGTTGGTATATAGAGTTGTAGAGAGATTACACTCAAATCTCAATACATAGCTGCTCATGGTACCTTTAGTTATGTCATACTCTTTGAAGTCTGTGATTGTATCAGAGATTAGGTCATTCATATGACATAACAAGCACAATAAATGCCTGGATAACTAGCTACTTGCTTCTAACTTCTTCCTTACTTATTTTCTTGCAGGTACCGTAATTCTTTTCTCTACTCTTTCCAGCTAGACGATTTTTCTTCCCATTGTCTTGGTGGTGAACTGTAGTACATCAGAACAGCTTAGCTTAAAATACAAATAGGATGCACCTCGTCCGTCGGTAATATTACCACCTTTTGACATAGCAGGGGATCCCTCTTAGTTTGTTCAGAAGTCCCCTTTTGCCTCTAGGCATATTACGAGGGAGGCAACATCATGTATATTTTGTCATACAGTTTCAGATACCGATATATAAATATAAATGTTTTAGTGGAGTTTATTTCTCGAGCTAGTAGTCACTCACCTTGTGTACAAATTTCTTGTCGTGTAAAGAACACATGTAAGATGGGATTGTGGACAGGTTTGAGAAAAAAAAACGTGATTTTTCATGTTTTATGGAAATGGAAATTTCAGGTGATAGCTGATAAAGTCTGGTAAATTTTTATTTTTATTTATTTATTTATTTTTTTGACGAGAAGTCTGGTAAATTTTGGTTCACATATTTACATGATGGTAGAGAAGTTTGGGTGTGAGGCTGTCTGTGAAAGTACTATGCTTCAACTACTGGTTGTTTCATCTGATTCAAATAATTAGTATTCGGTGATCAGTCCTGTGCTGCAGTACTAGCGATCGATTTTATATTTAAATTATATATTTCTGGATTTTATATTTTAGGGGCAAAATCGTCATCCCATGGAAAGATCTTCAATATTTAAACAAAAGAAAAATCATATTAAGAGGAAAAGAAGAGTTTGTCAATGGTCGAAACTATAAATCCCATAGATCTGTCTGGTTTCTGCCCGTCTTCCCCATTATTTTCATCGTCAAACACCTATAGATATGATTTTACAGTGATTTTGTTTAGATATTGAAAATGTTTCCTTAGGATGACGATTTACCCCTAACAATATAAAATCCAGTAACATTTCGCTGTCAATTTGGCCGAAAGGACCAAAACTGATAAAAATAACAAAGTTAGGCACCAAAATTAAAAATTTTTAAAGTTGTGCACCAAAAGTGATAGAATATCAAAAGTCGTGGGACCAAAAGTGAAATTAATTCATTGTGTAAATTATACCATCAAGGTTCACTTTGTATTGTGTGTCATGATCTATTTTTAGATATTTAAATTATATATTTTCAGTTAAACAAATTGAATTGTGTGTTACGATCTAAAATGATATTTAAATTATATATTTTTAGTTAAACAATTTGAAAGTACATAATATGTTAATTATAATATATACATAATTTATTAATTAAAGATAATATATTAATTGTCATAAGTACATAATTTATTAGCTGGATATTATGTATAGTGAATTTTTTGAAATTTTTGCTTCATTCACATGTTTAAATAAAATATTTTATTTAGAAAACAAAACTTTTAAAGTCAAACCACATATGTTGATGGAACAAGATAATGAATAAAGTGTTTTTTTTTTTAATTCTAAAGAATTATTATAATTATTCCATAATGAGGAAAATGGAAAAAGAATTCTCTGCAAAATTACTATTTGAAGGAAAAGAAGTGAAGTTAGGGAGGCAGGCGAGTTAAGGAAGGTCCCATTGAACAGTAAAAGAGGGGCAGGGTGCTATGCATTGGTGATTATAGTCAAAACTAGTTAGTGCGGTTTGAGTTGGAAACTTGAATTCAGTGCCAATAATGCATTTCTCTATTTTCCCTCAATCAAACTCACACATCACATTAACACTTCTCACCGTACATATGTCTAATCAAAATCTCTGTTTCTCTGCTGCTCAATCTACCTTAAACACTCTAATTAGACTTTTACTATATTAACTTCCAAATCTTACTTTATAAATTTTACTCTGTAATAAACTACTTTTTTTTTTTTAATATTATGTCAACATCAAGATTTTGTATATAAAAGTAAAAGTTGAGAGTAAAAAATGAGAATACACAGTATTTTTTCACTAATTAAACTTACTTATCTCTTGAATAATTCAATTCTGTTTCTTGAGTCTTATTCCCAAAATTTTTTACCAACACTTCATTTATTTAACTTATCATAAGTAAATCAGTTCATAGATAAACAGTCAATAAATATAAAATAATAATAATAATAATAATTATTTCATATTATTACTAGCTGTTCTATGTACGATGCAGGAAAAAAAAATACTCATGATCAGTGTCCTATATTAAAATCAAGATTATATTAAAGTGGTTTAAAAATATAATAGTAGATACATTTTTAAAAAAATATAATAGTAGTTTAAGTCATAGAATGCATATTTGAAAAATTTATATATTATTACATTATTAAATTATAAAATTTTAATATACCTTTATTCCCCCCTATTAGGATTTTATCATGTGTATGATTGCCACTCCATCTATGTATATTGTTGTAACTCTACTTTTACTACTCCTGCTCTTGCTAGGAATATCTCTTGTATCCCTATAAATACATTCCTTCTTGTACTTTGTAAACACATAAATTCTTGTTCTCAATAGTAGACCAAAGCAGTCGCCAACCGACCCCTAGCCCCAATTAATACTCTACAATCTATCATTTTATCTCTCTTAAACTTAAACTTACTTCATCCAATTATCTATTTTTAAAAACTCAGCTTGTTCCTTTTCTCCATGGTCAAAATCTTAGAGGATACGTTGATAGCACGTTCCCATGCCCGACTTCCTTTGTTCAGGCTCTGGATGGGTGTTCCGTTGTAGCCAATCTTGCGAAAAAAATTGGGTATGTTAGGATTCCTCTATTTTGTCTATGCTCATTTCGCCTTTGTTCGATAAAGTTATATATGCTGCTGTCGGTCATGCTACGTTCCGAGCCCTATGACAAGCTATTGAAGTTGCGTTTGGGTCCTCCTCACGAGCACGATCTCTGCGTCACCTTAGTCATTTGCAGTCTTTACGTTAAGGCGATTCCATTACGAGTGAGTATCTTGGCAAAGCCAAGCTGGTTTTAATTGAACTACTTGTAGAACTCTATACCTATTTAAAGGCATCTGCCCTGAGTACAGTGTGATGGTCACTTCATTGACCACAAAAGAAGTTGCGACAATTGATCAACTAACTGACTATCTCACCGCCCATCATTTCATATACATTGATGACATTCCTCTACTGACTTCCCCACTGTTACAACCCTAAATAGGACGATAACAGATAGGAAACCAAACGAGCAGGCTAGCTTATGGCTCCTAACTGTATTTGAGTCACGACAAACTCACACTTCGAATGTGTGGGGACTCCAAGAAGAATAATTAAAAGAGTAGAATAACATGAACAATATATTTCTCCGTGGTTTGTGGTTCTCAATATTCATATACAATATACCTATTTATACTAAAATACTAATACCTATACTAATTAAACTACTAAATTAATTATCCTAAGTATACAAGGTAATGATATATTATGATATACATAATTTTCTCCTATTGATAATCAATCATCTTCTCTTTCCTTTCATGCTCTCCCCTAATTAAGTCACCAATTGATTCTTCTCTTTTATGCATATCACTCTCCACCCCTTCAAAAAACACCTTGTCCCTCAAGGTGTAGAGAGGGATAAAATAAAACCATTTCTGTGATGAAAGTTCATGCCACTTGGCTGGTAGTCAATTGGTAGAAAAAATGATTCAAAAGATTGTTGAGGGTGATCATGGTATCTAGATGGTCCATTCTCTTGGCCTGCATTGTCTTGTAATACTTCCATGACGTATACTAATAGATGATCTTGTGAAAGAGTTACATGCTCCTCTAGTGTGAGTTTCAATTCTAAACCATTCTCGCGCGCTTTGTGTTGGAATATTCAATGGGATGGTCTAGATACCCAACTTTTTGGTGTTGACCTTCATTTGTAGTCAACAGTGGGAGGTTTTTCATAATTTTCCTGATACGCTGCCATAGTAGGAACTTGGCGCAACTTAAAAAATTGAATTGTAAAGTCCTCGAAATAAATTAGATCAAAATGAATCTTGACCTGCACCAAAAAATCATCCCATGAACACAACAACCCATTACTTTTCATCCAACAAAACCATTCTAAGGCTTTGCCATGAACCATAAGTGACACATGAGAAAGACGTTGTTCAAAAGGCATATCATGATATTCAAAAAATTCTTGTGCGCGGAAAATCCAAGCGTGAGGGTCCTTTCTATCAAATTTTCTGAAGATCAATCTTAAAAAAAGATCGTTGCCAAGTAACAGGGAAATCAGACTGCTCAATTCTCCTTGATGGTGAAGTAATAGTAGAGAGCGGAAAACATATTTGGCTAGGGTGATTTGTGTGGTGTTGGGATGTGTGGTATGTTTGAAGGGAATCAACTATTTGGGTTAAGACATGTATGGAATGTTGAAGAGTTTTCGAAGATTGAAGGTAATAATGGTTCTGGTTATGGAGTTGTTGGCGAATTTCAAACAAGGGTTCTATCCATGATTGACAAGCCAAAGAAACTTGCGATGAGTTATTATTGGCCATGAAAAATATGTTAGACAATGAACTTAAACAATGAACTCAACTGGTATTTCTATATATCCCGTTCATATGTACAAGGAAGAGTAGAACTATTTATACAAGACAAGAGCTAATCCTAGCTACAGACTTTAAACATCTAAACCTAGGGCTAAGAGTGATTCTCTCAACTAATACCATATTTCTCTAACACTCCCCCTTGGAGCATCCAACTTGTTACATATGTATCACATGAACTATAGACTCCACACCTAAGACTCATAACTTCCAAGGCCAACGCCCAAGTCTTGTACCACTCGAACAATCTTTGAACCACGTTGTGCCAAATCAGTCCACAACGCACCTTGTCGCACTAACACAGCTTTTACGGAGCCAAAAACCAGGCCAAACACCACATCGCACCGGCCTCTCACACCCCACACCCTTATCAACGCTGCCTAACACCACAATGTACCTGCCTCTCGCTCCACAAACCATTAGCGTTGCCACACCATAGTGCACCTGTCAGTCTCACCATGCACCACTACCATCGCTGCCCAACACCACAACGTTTCCTCGATGCATGCACGTAAACTGATTCACCCCGAATCATTCTTCAGCCGTCGACCTTCCCCGCGGCATATGCCAGGTCAACCCTAAACCCCTGTTTACTCACACTGAACATGCTGCACTGACTCAACTCAAACCCTAGCTTTGCTCCTATACCACATTAATTTAAAAACAAGCGACAAACTATGATAAACCAAACACAAAGCTCAAGACTTATTAATACGATAAACCAACCAACACAAAAGAAAAGAACCTATTGCCTAATTATTCCCCTTATCAACTTTTACCTAGCACAAACCTACTGACCATCCTAGCAGTAACACAAACCTAACCTACTGACCATCCCGACAACAACACACACCTATTGACCATAGTTGCTGGCGGCCGTCACCAACCACACAACCTGGCGTTGCCACCTACTCCCCCTTGTCGTTGTCGTCGTTGTAACACCCCGTGTTACGGCCTTCAATCCCGGATTAATTATTTAATTAATCCCGTTAATAATAATTAAATATGATTTAATTATGTTAGGTTTACCTTTAATTAATTAGTAAGGTCCACCATGAACCGTGGACCCTTGCCCGAATAAGAATCTTAAGCCTGTCAGGAATAAAGGAGGTAGGCCTTTTACTATTCAGATTATGATTAGGATCCTCTTTAATTAATATGGTCCACTATGGACCATGGACCCTTATCCCTAAAACAAGCCCTAGCCTTATAAGGAATAGAATTAGTAAACCCATACCATTCAGGCCCTAACTAGGAGTCTTAAATATATAAATAGGGAACTTAGGAGGCACCTAGAATCCCCACCACAATAATCTCTCACCACCCAAAGAGTTCCAAGAATCCCCTTAGGAGAAATCAAGAAATCAAGAAAGCTTAAAGAAAGATCCTTCATAGCCAAGGAATTAATTAAGGCTAAGAGGTAACCCATGTCTCAACAAAACCTATTTTCATAGTTATAATTCCCCCTTAGGGTTTCCCCATATTATTGTATATTGGCGAGTTATGATGATTATTATTGGTAATTGATGTGATGATCCCATGGGGGATCTTGATGATCTTGATATTGGGAGATTCTTGATAATTATGGTGTTCTTGATAATTATATGGAGTTCTTGGTGATTATGTGTTGTTCCTGATAATTGTGTGATGTTCTTGATGCTTATGTGTTATTCTTACCGAATCTTGCAATTAGAAGACAAACCGTATTCTTGTTGATATAAAAGTGATTAGAACCCTAGGTTGTATCGTATGATCTTATTCTTGGATTATCGGGTGGGGAAATCGCATGTTTGGGTGTTGATTATATTTAGAAAAGCTTGATAGGTTATGTGCCGTTCGTTTCTTGTATTTGATTCGTTAATTGGCTACGTGTTGTTGTTAATTTCGTTGTAAAGTGTCTAAGCATGGTTTCGGGTTCCACAACGGTTCCCGGGGCGTAAAGTGTGTGAAAAGAGTCAGTGGGGGGTAGGGGACCCGCCACCTACCCACGGCCGTGAAACACCGCCCGGCAGCGGGTAGCCGGCGGGTGGCCCCCCCACCCACCGGCTACCCGCTGGAAATTCCCTCATCTTGGGATCCCGGCTTCCCCGTTTGATGTTCCCCCATTCCCCGTGGTGTCCCAATAGACTCCGTTTATCGTGCCTATGTCTAGTTTGATGTTTCGGGTACCGTTCGTAGGTTTATGAGTCTATTATATTGCATGCTAGTTGAATTGGTATCCCGTTGACCTAGGTGGTAGAAGTATGAACCCCTTAGGACTATTCTTAGTATGTGATGGATCACGCATAGGTTTTGTTATACGTTTTCTCCCCCTTCCTAATGTGTAATGTGGGTTGCATGTGCTTGCTATGTGTTATGTGTGTGTGTTACCCCAATTCGGTTGCGATCGGATTGGTTATCCTGAGCTGCGGTTCAGAAGCTGGCTGCGGTCAGATTGATACTCTTGGGCTGCCGTCCACCGTTTGGTTGCGATCAAACGTTTCTATACGAGCTGCGGTTCGTCCTTTTTCCTGGCTGCGGTCAGATGACATTCTCTTGGGCTGCAGTCCACTGTTTGGTTGCGATCAAACACTATGATGAGCTGCGGTTCATCGGTCGGTTGCGATCGACCCCTCCGTGTTGCGATACGGGGCAGGGTGCTGCGGGGCCGTGTCAGAGCTATATGCGCTGACCCTCATGTATGGGCATGCGATTGGTCCTGTGGCGCCAACAAAGTGTGTTATGTGTTGTGACAGGGACGAGTTGTGATTACGAGTGTCTTGGGGGATGTGACTATGGGATTTATATTGGGGACTGTTCATGTTGGGTTATGATCATTGTTTATGCTTTGCCTTATCTGCCTTATCTGTTGTGAACTGCATATGCTCGTTATAACTGTTGCTTGTGTCTGGCCTTATCTATCGAGTCATTCCCGGTTTTAAAGCTAGAGTTCGTAGGATATATCTTCATGCTCAAAATGGTTTTCGTATATCTATATATATCTCTATATGTATTGTATTTCAACGCGTTGGAGTGGGTTACCAGCATCTCTCGCTGAACAGATATATTTGGCTTTCAGGCACAGAAGATTAAGTCACTGGACTGCGCTAGAACTTAGAAGTAGATAGCTTCCCTTTTGGCCTGCGTGCCATGTTTACGTATTTACGCTTTGAGGATATTAGTTAGTTAGCCTGTGCACTTGGGTTCTCTAGCCCAGGTGTGGCATAGGACCCCGAACGCTCGTATTTATATCTTGGGATTTAATAAGATTCTACCTTTATTATAAGTTTTAAATGTCTTGAAAATCTGGGGTGTTACAGTCGTTGTCAGTTGCTGGAAAACATCCACTGCCGGGTCCTCAACCGAGCTCAAACAACATGCCACCAACAATCCATACTCCAACACATCATAAACCATACCTTGACGAAATGGAACCACCAAAACGAGACGAACAAGACAATATTTTGCCAAAAAAGTCGCCG